AAAATTTATTTTAAAATGTATCCTGGGGCCACATAAAAAAAATCACGTTGGGAAGAGGTCATACATTTTTTCAATTACAATTCACACAATCCCACCAGCCCCAATGCCCCTAAAAAATGAATTGTCCCTAGAGGCACGCTAGCCAAGTATAACAAAATAAACAAACAATATGTTGTATAATAAGTCTATATTTTATATCCTTTCCAAAGATAATCCTAATAATTTTACCTCTACATTTACAACTTTTTAGTCAATCAATAAGAAGATCTTCAAACTGTAAAAGTTACACCATTTATCCTACTAGTTGTCATTCCAGCCATTCAGCCATTGTCATGGCAACAGTTGCCATGGTGAAAGGGTTGTCATGGTAACTCAGATACTGCTTTGCGGAGATAGAGCTGCAACTCCAGGAAGAGTTTTACCTACAAGAAACAAAACAAAAAAAGGTCTTATTTTCATGTCCCATTTCATTCTCACTCACATTCTCATTTCATTTCATTTTAATTTAAATCGAAACATGTCAATCAACTTGAATAACTATTGTTCTGAACTGACTAGTCTCCTGTTCATGTGGAAACACAAAAGCATTTTCACCAGCTCTTACCTTCGAGAAGTTCCAGACTAGCACCACCACCAGTACTGACATGACTGACTTTATCTTCTGTTTCCCACTTTGCGCAGCACGTCGCTGTATCCCCTCCACCTGCATCGCAACAACAGCAACAAATTGAAATTTCTCAGCTTATAACTTTGCCTAAATTTCATTAAGCCACATATTTGAATAATAGACCATTTCACAGATCCCGCGGCTCAACCTCAGCCTCGTCAGCGTGTAATAGATTCTTTAGAAATTGCCTACAACCTGTGAAATTTTTAAGTGTTTCAATTGTTCGTTGATGTGTAAATTCCTTTCATTACTGCGGACTGTAGTCAAATTCTAAAGAATAATTACACGCTGACGAGGCTGAGGTTGAGTAACGGGATCCGTGAAATGACCTATTGACATTTATAAGCTTGTAGGCCTTTTTCACGCGGCAGGCATGTTAGTTTGAACAGTAGATTCCACTATGTGTAGCCAAATAATCAAGTGCTTGAGAATAAATATATGCAGGTTTTTAAATGGGTTAAAGATTTTAATTCTCATGAGCCGCCGTGTGATTAATGTTTACAGAGGCCGTGTAATCCCACATTTTTCTTACCAATAATTGTTGTGGCTCCATTTTTAGTGGCCTCTACTACTGCATCCATGACAGCCTTGGTGCCTGCTTCAAACTTGGCGAATTCAAACACACCAACAGGGCTATTGAAAAAGATAAGAAATTAGTGCATTTTTTGAACACCCATCCTCATCATGCATGTATCATCATCATGCATGTATCATCATCATGCATGTATCATCATCACAATGTATTATCATGTATCATCATCATGTATCATCATCGTGTATCATCATCATGTATCATCATCATGTATCATCATCATGTATCATCAT